CAGTAGATGGCAGCAGATAGCTAAGTACTTTGAAACTGAAAAATTGGATGCGACCACTGGCTGTAACAGGTCAGCATTGTGGCGAGAAAGGTAAAATTGGATGCGACCAACAAATGTGGGAGGGAGCGAGACAAGAGCTTTGTGGCGAGTGAGAAGTGAAAGTGATAGAGACGTTTTTGAAAATGAATTATGCCGTTTCTGAACAGGATTAACATCCTCCGCTCTGCCCCGGGGTAGCTGAGGCAGCGTTGTAGTGGTTTAACTATGAAATGTACGATTTTTGTACAACAGCTCTCGCGAACGCACTTCTGAACTGGGTACCGAGCGCAGACCGTAGTCGAGTGGACAGAACCACAGACATGCGGACCGGACAGAACCATGGACTCGCGTTCAGGACCTCCCGTGTCCCTAATCCAAAACTCCTGAATTTAAAGCTCGGATACCAAAATGTTTCCCATGCACTAACAATGCATGTTCTTTGTGTGAGTTATTATTTGACTATTTGGGCAGAGAGTGGATTTTCTTAGTTTTTTTTCACACAGTTAGTGCCACTTTATTCCCAAACTCTTGTTAATTGTATTGAGAAATATTAAATAAAGCTTAATTTCAAGGCCTGGACTTAAGCATTTTGATGAGAATAACTGTATATTGTGAATATAGGCTACAGAGTATACTGTATACATTATAAGATAAGATATACTTTATATATCACACAGAGTATGTACAGTATATATTTTTTTACATTAGTACTGTATACATTTTTACATTTTCTCCTGGAGGTGTGCCGCAAGATTTTTTCAGTGAAAAAAGTGTGCCTTGGCTCAAAAAAGGTTGAAAAACACTGGAGTAGAGGACGGCGTCATCTACTTCCTCCAGCGGACGCTCTCCCACCTGAAGCACGACGGGAGCGCTGTGAGGGTCATGTTCTTCGACTTCTCCAGTGCTTTCAACACCATCAGACCGGCACTGCTGCAGGGGAAGATGGAGGACGCGAGAGTGGACAGTAGCCTCACTGCATGGACCATCAACTACCTCTCGGACCAACCACAGTACGTGCGGCTGCGCAGCAGTGAATCTGAGGTGGTAGTCTGCAGCACTGGGGCCCCTCAGGGCACTGTCCTCTCACCGTTTCTCTTCACCATCTACACTTCAGACTTCACACATGACACACACAGCTGTCACCTGCAGAAGTTCTCCGACGACTCCGCCATCGTGGGCTGTGTGTTTGAAGGGAACAATCTGGAATATCGGTCGGTTATCACAGACTTTGTCGACTGGTGTGAGCGCAACCACTTGTGCTTGCACACCAGTAAGACCAAGGAGATGGTGATCGATTTCAGGAGGAAACCACTTTCCCACACGCGGCTGAACATCCAGGGGGAGGACATTGAGCTGGTGGACAAGTTCAAGTACCTGGGTGTTCACATTAACAATAAACTGGACTGGTCCCATAATACAAACGCCCTGCACAAGAAGGGCCAAAGTCGCCTCTTTCTTCTGAGGAGGCTGAGGTCCTTCGGAGTGAGCAGGCCTCTGCTTAGGACCTTTTATGACTCTGTGGTAGCATCTGCCATTTACTACGCTGCCGTGTGCTGGGCCCCGGGCAGCACAGAGCGGGACAGAAACAGACTGAACAAGCTGGTCAGGAGGGTCAGCTCCACTCTGGGCTGCTCCCTGGACTCTGTGGAGGAGGTGAGGGACAGGAGGGTGCTAGCCAAAGCCACCTCCATCATGAACAATACCTCCCACCCACTGCACAGGACTGTAGAGGAGCTGAGGAGCTCCTTCAGTGGAAGACTGAGGCCCCCTCAGTGTAGGAAGGAGCGCTAACGCAGGGCCTTTATCCCCACCGCTGTCAGACTGTACAATAAGTCACTTTAAGTCACTGTATAACTGCTAATTTACACATCACGCGTTACAGCGCAGCAGACGCGCGTAACTTTTTTCCATGTTAACCTACAGTGCCTTGCGAAAGTATTCGGCCCCCTTGAACCTTTCAACATTTCGCCACATTTCAGGCTTCAAACATAAAGATATAAAATTTAAATTTTTTGACATGAATCAACAAGTGGGACACAATCGTGAAGTGGAACGAAATTTATTGGATAATTTAAACTTTTTTAACAAATAAAAAACTGAAAAGTGGGGCGTGCCATATTATTCGGCCCCTTTACTTTCAGTGCAGCAAACTCACTCCAGAAGTTCAGTGAGGATCTTTGAATGATCCAATGTTGTCCTAAATGACTGATGATGATAAATAGAATGCACCTGTGTGTAATCAAGTCTCCGTATAAATGCACCTGCTCTTTGATAGTCTCAGGGTTCTGTTTAAAGCGCAGAGAGAACCATGAAGACAAAGGAACAGACCAGGCAGGTCCGAGATACTGTTGTGGAGAAGTTTAAAGCCGGATTTGGATACAAAAAGATTTCCCAAGCTTTAAACATCTCAAGGAGCACTGTGCAAGCAATTATATTGAAATGGAAGGAGTATCAGACCACTGCAAATCTACCAAGACCCGGCCGTCCCTCCAAACTTTTATCTCAAACAAGGAGAAGACTGATCAGAGATGCAGTCAAGAGGCCCATGATCACTCTGGATGAACTGCAGATAACTACAGCTGAGGTGGGAGTCTGTCCATAGGACAACAATCAGTCGTGCACTGCACAAATCTGGCCTTTATGGAAGAGTGGCAAGAAGAAAGCCATTTCTCAAAGATATCCATAAAAAGTCTCGTTTAAAGTTTGCCACAAGCCACCTGGGAGACACACCAAACATGTGGAAGAAGGTGCTCTGGTCAGATGAAACCAAAATCGAACCGGCCACAATGCAAAACGATATGTTTGGCGTAAAAGCAACACAGCTCATCACCCTGAACACACCATCCCCACTGTCAAACATGGTGGTGGCAGCATCATGGTTTGGGCCTGCTTTTCTTCAGCGTGGACAGGGAAGATGGCTAAAATTGATGAGAAGATGGATGGAGCCAAATACAGGACCATTCAGGAAGAAAACCTGTTGGAGTCTGCAAAAGACCTGAGACTGGGACGGAGATTTATCTTCCAACAGGACAATGATCCAAAACATAAAGCCAAATCTACAATGGAATGGTTCACAAATAGACGTATCCAGGTGTTAGAATGGCCAAGTCAAAGTCAAGACCTGAATTCAATCGAGAATCTGTGGAAAGAGCTGAAGACTGCTGTTCACAAACGCTCTCCATCCAACCTCACTGAGCTCGAGCTGTTTTGCAAGGAAGAATGGGAAAGAATCCCAGTCTCTCGATGTGCAAAACTGATAGAGACATACCCCAAGCGACTTGCAGCTGTAATTGCAGTAAAAGGTGGCGCTACAAAGTATTAGCGCAAGGGGGCTGAATAATATTGCACGCCCCACTTTTCAGTTTTTTATTTGTTAAAAAAGTTTAAATTATCCAATAAATTTTGTTCCACTTCACGGTTGTGTTCCACTTGTTGCTGATTCTTGATAAGAAATTTAATTTTTATATCTTTATGTTTGAAGCCTGAAATGTGGCAAAATATTGAAAGGTTCAAGGGGGCCGAATACTTTCGCAAAGCACTGTATGATGATATTTACACTTCTAGCGTTATACGCACGTATTACGCGAAGCTGCGCTCTAATTTAGGATGGATTTCTAATTTTGTGCGCGCATCAACGCGTCTCCCATTGAAATCTCATGTAAAACATGATTTTTCTAGCGGTCCTTGGCTCTAGATCGCATCTGCACACACACAGCACTTTTGTCTAAACATCAGCAGGAGGAGCAGCAGGTTTTACAGTGATTCTGGACATCGTTTTTTTTCTTTCATAAAGTCTCGCGTCTGGCCAAACCAGCGCACAGAGACCATGAAGACCAACACATGCATGTGATTTGTGTTGCTCTACATCAGTCCTCTGGCCCGTACTGTCCTCTGCACTGCTCCATAGACTACACAGGGAGAGCATCAGAAGACGCGGACCTGTGCGCACGGTCAGTGTAGATACTCAAAAAAAAAGTTACGCGCAGAGAGCGCTCAGTAAACGCGTACGCGCTGTTTACGCCTACTGTATAAATTCCCTGTAAGACTGAAAAAAAAATAATAATATAAAAAAACCTGCACTACTATTGACACTATATCTGATTGCCACTTTTATTGTACATACATATCCTGTGTACATAACATGTTTGCACTTTTACTCCTTTTGCACAATCTGAGTGTTCTATCCATGCCAAACGTGACATGTAAATTTCTCCTTGTGAGATAAATAAAGCATATCTTATCAGAACCTGTTGATGGTGCCCCGCACTCGCTTTAAAACCAGAGGAGACAGATCCTTCCAGGCAGTTGCTCCTCGCCTTTGGAATGAGCTTCCTCAGTCTCTGCGTATCTTAGAGACTGTTGATTTTAAGTCCCAACTAAAGACGTATTTGTTTAGACAGGCTTTCTCGCCTCACTGTTCATAGGCCTCTGTGAATGTAAACTGTGTTTTTCTGTGTTCTGCTTTTATCTGACTTGTATGTGTGTTTTATGTGTTTTAATGTGTGAAGCGCTTTGTGATCCTGGTCTGTGAAAGGCGCTATACAAATAAACTTTACTTACTAACTTACTTACTTATACCGCCGTTCACAGACCAGAGTCACAAAGCGGTTTACAATTGTTATTGTAAACCGCACAGAGAGAGATACACAGAGACACACACACCCTCCTCCTGCTGCCTCCTCCTCCCCCTGCTGCCTCCTCCTGCCTGCCTCCTCCTCCTCCTGCTGCTCTCACCTGTGTCCATCTGCCACACGTACACAGAGCCTCCTCCCTCCTCCTCCTGCTGCTCTCACCTGTGTCCATCTGCCACACGTACACAGAGCCTCCTCCTCCTGCTGCTCTCACCTGTGTCCATCTGCCACACGTACACAGAGCCTCCTCCTCCTGCCTCCTCCTCCTGTGCTCTCACCTGTGTCCATCTGCCACACGTACACAGAGCCTCCTCCTCCTGCTGCTCTCACCTGTGTCCATCTGCCACACGTACACAGAGCCGTCAGAGCAGCCCACCACCAGGTAGTCGTCGGCGGGCCTCCACTTGATGACCTGGATGGGGAACAGATGCCTGGACGCCAGCATGATGCACTTCCTCTCCTTCAGACTCAGCAGCCCCACCGAGTGGTCACTGGCCACGGAGCAGACGCAGTGCTGGACACGCGTCTGCAACCGACACAGCGTCTCCAGTGAGTTTATTTACAGAGCGCATTTTTCGGAGCCAGGAAACCAAAGCCCTTTATCGTGCTGATGGAGAATCTAAGAAATATCTATAATATATAATGTTCAGCAATGATATCTATAGATTGTTATGTGATTTGTATTTGATGTGTAACTAATGAATGGATAAATTAATATGTTCAGACACTTTTCCATTCTCTCCACACGACGACAAACGAACTGGTGCATCAAAGCCCCTCACTGTCTCATTACGTTCACGCTCTGTTTTGGCACATCGTGCACATAAGTTGGGCATACCCAAATGTCTTTGCTTATTTAAAAACACATCTTAAATCTCACATGCTTGTGTGATGCATCATATTAAAGATAGAGCCTTCTAGTTTATGTAAATATATACGAAAATAAGGTATGTCATTCCTATTTCACTCTGCATCCTTTGAAGTTTGGGAAAAAAAAACTTTTCTTGCCTTCAATGTATAAATGCCCTAAAAAAGCCTACTTCATTGGAAGAAGAACATATTCAGAGGCCAATGTGTTCATTGTGTTGTTGACAAAAACTGTGTAAAGTTTCAGACTTTAAGTTTTATAGTTTTTATGCAGTTTCTCTTTTTCATCAAGTTTTGGCAAAATTTGTACCAATTTGCTTTACTAACATTTCACCATCATAAAAAGCATATTTTTTAGTTTTGGTACTTAGAAGTTACAAATCTGTGTGATTTTTTTACATTTTTTCCCCAAAAATTTTTTTGTAGTGTAAATGCATATAAAATATGCGCAGCAATGTAACAGCGTCTTTACGCACGCTTTTACTGTGAAAATGAAAAGGGTTCATGTAAGTCCCACCCATCAATAGAAAGCTCTTTTTATTGGCTACTTAGACACGTCAATCATTCAGTGCTAGTAGCACATTGCGCTAGCCGTGTAACCAACAACAAGGCCAAACGGACCCTGTGCAAATGGATGCGGTTCGTCTTTTTCACAAGGGTCCTGCGGACTGAAAACTGCTCCTATCTTTTCATGGAACCTCTCTTTTTGAAGCTAACGAGTTGGGAACATGAGGATACTCTGTCTTTGGGGGTAAACAAAGCACAAACTTGGCAAAATGTAAAAGAGCAGTCTGAACCTCTTTCGGAGCGTTTTTTTTGCAACAGAAAAACGCACAATTTTGGATTATTTCTGAAGAACGGATTATACTTTGGGAAATACAAGTGGATGTTCTTTTTCAATGAACAGTTACGGAGAGAAAGAGACTAAGCAAGGATGGAGGAAGTCTAATTTGTTGGAGCAGCAGAAGATGAAAGAAAAAAAATGTGCACAAACGTGATTTATTTTGTGCCCATATTATGCGTTATATTTTTTAATGCACTTACACTTACATATAAATATAGCTGAGAAAATAAGCTTTAAAATGATATATAGCTTGTGGCTTATGAAGTTCAAAACACATCTGCTGTTGCCAGCGGATGTATTTTTTTTCTCGTTTGCTAGTGAGCTTAAGCCCTTTGAGACGCCTGGATTAGATGGACATAATAAAGGACCATGACAGACTTTAGAGCAAGAGAAACGCGTTAGTTTGATAAAATTATCCAAGAGCCAAACTCTGATGGACTCTGTTCTTAAAATGAGGTGTGACTCCAGTTGGTAAAATAACAAATGTTTATTCAACAGACACATGTGTGACCTGTCAATCAAAATGTGCCAGTTCAAGTTGTTCAAGTCTGTGTATCCTCTTTCATCTTTCCTCTCCTCTCCCTCTCTCCTCTCTCCTCCCTCTCGTCTTTCCTCTCCTCCCTCCTCTCCTCTTTCCTCTCCTCTCTTCTCTTCTCTTTCCTCCCCTCTCCTCTTTCATCCCTCCCCTCTTTCATCTTTCCTCTCCTCCTCTCTCCTCTTTCCTCCCTCTCTCCTGAGGGAGGAAAGAGAGAGAAGAGAGGAGAGGTCCTCTCTTCTCTTTCCTCCCTCTCTCCTGTCTTTCCTCTCCTCCCTCTTTCATCTTTCCTCTCCTCTCCTCTCCTCCCTCCTTCTTTCCTGTCTTTCCTCTCCTCCCTCTCTCCTCTTTCATCCCTCGCCTCTCATCTTTCCCCTCCTCTTTCTTCTTTCCTCCCTCTCTCCTGTCTTTCCTCTCCTCCCTCTCCCCTTTCATCTTACCTCTCCTCTCTTCTCTTCTCTTTCCTCCCTCTCTCATGTCTTTCCTCTCTCCCTCTCCTCCTCCCCTCCCCTCCCACTCAGCCTACATACTTGTAAACCGAGCCAATTGCAGCAGTGTTATTACTGTAGCGCCCCCTGTCTGTGTGGAGTGTAGTAGCTTACGCTGCAGTTCTCCGGAGGCACCAAGAGCTGGCTGATCTCTCCCCCGTGGACACAGAAGATGTGCTTCATCTCTCCGGTGAAGATGTCCCACACGATGACGGAGAAGTCCACGCCTCCGGACACCAGGGCGCGCTGGTCGTAGCGGGGCGACACCTGGTACGGGTACAGCACGCACGTCACCTTGTTCCTGTGGCCTCGTAGTGTGCGGTGAGGGGGCCAGCCTGGAGAACCACAGAGCACTAGTCACTACCATGTGGGGGGCGTGCTATAGTTGTAGATCCAGCCTCAGTCCTGGTCTAAAGCAGGTCTAAAGCAGGTCTAAAGCAGGACTAAATCAGGTCTAAAGCAGGACTAAAGCAGGACTAAAGCAGGACTAAAGCAGGACTAAAGCAGGACTAAAGCAGGTCTAAAGCAGGACTAAAGCAGGACTAAAGCAGGACTAAAGCAGGACTAAAGCAGGTCTACCTCTGCGGAGCATATGCTCCCCCTGCAGCAGCTGCACGATGGCGGTCTGTGTGGCAGGGACCAGGATGATGCTTCCGTCCTCGCGCCCACACACCAGGCGGCCCTGAGCCGGGATGTACACACTGGCCGTCACCTGCAACACACCATTGAAAGGACCTTTATCTAAACATGTACTAGAAATACACACCATAAAATGTGTAGAGGACTGGACAATGCTAACCTGCTAAAACTCACATCAAAAAGTAAACTCCTCCAATAACCGTCACACCCACCATTTGACAATCTGTGGTTTATTACTCTATATGATAATGGTGCTTATATTTTTTGATATTGCTTTTGTTAATAAAAGTATGAGCCATATCATCTGACCAATCAGGAACATTCTCTCCCTGAATTTCGCTTCAATGAGAAAATAACAAGCAGTAATATTACAGAGCCGCTCGGGATTGGCTGGTTGCTGGATAGTTGCCATCTGAGAGTTTTAATCAGCTCTAATCAGCTTTTCCCAGGAATGAGAATGACATCAGCACTGAGTCTGTCCACTTCACGCTCTCTACGGTAAAGCCTACATTTGTTCTGCTAAAGACAGAATGAGAATGTTAGAGGCAGGGCCAAGTCCGACCTTGATGGGCTGGTCTTTCCCAGGCAGGGTGCTGAGCTGGTCGATGATCCCGGACGACACGGGCAGGAGGCGGTCGAAGGACTCCTGCAGACTGAGGGTGGTGGAGATGGGCAGCTCTGTGTGGACTCCTCCAAGCAGAGGAGAAGAACATGAACACATACTCGTAATACTAACACCCCTAATATACACTGTGTGGTCAGAGCAAAAGTTATATCCATGATGGTGCGTCTAAACATTCATGTTAGACCTCAGGGTAAAGGCTTCACTGTGGGCTTTTCTCAGATGTTACTCTGCTCAAGTGACTCCATGCATTTCCTCTTTCTGTCTCATAAGGATCTGGTCTGTGTGTTATACATGCAGCACTCTCTCGTCTCTCCACTCTCTCGTCTCTCCACTCTCTCGTCTCTCCACTCTCTCGTGTCCTCTGTGAGGGGGGGTGTCCACTGTGAGGGGGGTGTCCTCTCTCGTCTCTCCCCTCTCTTGTCTCTCTCCTCTTTCTCCTCCCAGTCCTCTCTCTCTTGTCTCTCCTCTCTCTCCTTTCCTCCCACTCCTCTCTTTCTCGTCCCCACTCTTCTCTGTCCTCCATTTACTCTCCCCTGTGTGTGTGAGTACTGACCCCCTCTCCCTACTGTGTATGTGTGTGTATGAGTACTGACCCCCTCTCCCTACTGTGTATGTGTGTGTATGAGTACTGACCACCTCTCCCTACTGTGTGTGTGTGAGTACTGACCCCCTCTCCCTACTGTGTGTGTGTGAGTACTGACCCCCTCTCCCTACTGTGTGTGTGTACTGACCCCCTCTCCCTACTGTGTGTGTGTGCGTACTGACCCCCTCTCCCTACTGTGTGTGTGTGAGTACTGACCTCCTCTCCCCACTGTGTGTGTGTGTGTATGAGTACTGACCTCCTCTCCCCACTGTGTGTGTGTGCGTGTGTGTACTGACCCCCACTCCCTACTGTGTGTGTGTGTGTGTACTGACCCCCACTCCCTACTGTGTGTGTGTGTGTGTACTGATCCCCTCTCCCTACTGTGTGTGTGAGTACTGACCCCCTCTCCCTACTTTGTGTGTGTGTGTACAGACCCCCTCTCCCTACTGTTTGTGTGTGTGTACTAACCCCCTCTCCCTACTGTGTGTGTGTGTGTCGACTGACCCCCTCTCCCTACTGTGTGTGTGTGTGTGAGTACTGACCCCCTCTCCCTACTGTGTGTGTGTGTGTGTGTGTGTGTGTGTGTGTGTGAGTACTGACCCCCTCTCCCTACTGTGTGTGTGTGTGAGTACTGACCCCCTCTCCCTACTGTGTGTGTGTGTGTACTGACCCCCTCTCCCTACTGTGTGTGTGTGTACTGACCCCCTCTCCCTACTGTGTGTGTGCACTGACCCCCTCTCCCTACTGTGTGTGTGAGTACTGACCCCCTCTCCCTACTGTGTGTGTGTGAGTACTGACCCCCTCTCCCTGCTGTGTGTGTGTGAGTACTGACCCCCTCTCCCTACTGTATGTGTGTGAGTACTGATCCCCTCTCCCCACTGTGTGTGTGTGTGTGTGTGTGTGTGTGTGAGTACTGACCCCCTCTCCCTAGTGTGTGTGTGTGAGTACTGACCCCCTCTCCCTAGTGTGTGTGTGTGAGTACTGACCCCCTCTCCCTACTGTGTGTGTGAGTACTGACCCCCTCTCCCTACTGTGTGTGTGTGTGAGTACTGACCCCCTCTCCCTACTGTGTGTGTGTGAGTACTGACCCCCTCTCCCTACTGCGTGTGTGTGTGTGAGTACTGACCCCCTCTCCCTACTGTGTGTGTGTGTGTGTGAGTACTGACCCCCACTCCCTACTGTGTGTGTGTGTGTGTGTACTGACCCCCACTCCCTACTCTGTGTGTGTGTGTGTGTGTACTGACCCCCACTCCCTACTCTGTGTGTGTGTGTGTGTGTGTGTACTGACCCTCTCCCTACTGTGTGTGTGTGTACTGACCCCCTCTCCCTACTGTGTGTGCGTGTACTGACCCCCTCTCCCTACTGTGTGTGTGCACGTGTGCATGTGCATGTAAACTGACCTGGGGGGGTGGCCTGCGGGGCTGGGATGTGGTCTGGGACTCTCCACAGGGTCAGTCTCCCCTCTGAGTCTCCCTGGATCAGCAGCTTGTGAAAGGGCTCCCTCCGACTGAAGAAGAAGTGTGTGACGGGGGGACAGATGAGCAGCTGTGGAGGAGACACACACAGCTAACACACACAGGTTACACACAGAGGAGACACACACACTGAAGAAGAAGTGTGTGACGGGGTGACAGATGAGCAGCTGTGGAGGAGACACACACAGGTTACACACTAGGGATGTACCGATCCGATATTCAGTATTGGTATCGGGGGGCCGATATGGCTATTTTGTAAGGATCGGATTTTATCGGATTTGTTAAATATGAAGCCGATTTATTGCACTTTTAAGCATGCTCCCGCTTTACGGCTGCCGTAAACGCATGGATGCGGTGCAAACATGTCTGCTGTCTGGGACTATTTTTCACTGGAATATAGTTATAGTCAAACGGCTACTTGCAATACTTGTAAAGTAGCAATTTCACGAGGAGGGAGCAAAAAGGCTCACTTCAACACGACCAACTTAATCCGTCATTTGGAGAGGAACCACGCAGCGGAGTATAGCCATTACAAGAGCAAGACTGCGAAGCCACAACAACAAACTTTGGCAGAGGCTTTTCGCAGACATGAACTATTGCCTCGAAACAGTGACAAGTCACGGAAAATAACGCAGAAGGTTGTTGAATATATAGCGTTGGATGATCAGCATATTTCTGTCGTGGAAAACATGGGATTTTGTCGTTTAAGTTTTTGGAGCCGAGGTATGAACACCCTTCTCCATGCTACATTTCACAAACCGCAGTCCCCGAGCTCTACAGTAAGATTCGCAAACATGTTGGTAGTATTTTGCTATCAGAGAGCTTTTTGTGGTCATTCAGTTATGTACCAGCACTTTTCTTTTTGTTATACTGAATGTTGAGGGCAGCTTTTTAGGCCCGAGCCCCGAACGGGGTAAAGGGCCTATTGCTTTCACAATGGTGAAAACAAATGGTGGCGGTGCGTGATGGACGCATCAGCGCCCTTCAATCACCACAACGTGACGGTTTTGTGCGTAAACTCAAACGCTTTAAAATAATGTATCACGTGCCATTGAAACCTATATTGATTTTTCTCACGACGTCGAAAAAAAATTCCTTGTTTATTTATTTATTTATTAGGCCCAAGCCCCGAACGGGGTAAGGGCCTATTGCTTTCACAATGATGAAAACAAATGGTGGCGGTGCGTGACGGAGGCGTCAGCGCCCGTCACTCACCACAACGTGACGGTTTTGTGCGTAAACTCAAACGCTTTAAAATTATGTATCAGGTGCCATTGAAACCTCTTGTTTTTGCTCGAGACGTCAAAAAAAAAAAATTCCTTTATTATTTATTAATTAGGCCCGAGCCCCGAACGGGGTAAGGGCCTATTGCTTTCACAATGGTGAAAACAAATGGTGGCGGTGCGTGACGGACGCGTCAGCGCCTGTCACTCACCAAAACGTGACAGTTGCGTGCGTAAACTCAAAAGCTTTAAAATGATGAATCACGTGCCATTGAAACCTATATTGTTTTTGCTCGAGACAAGTTACAAAAAATTCCTTTTTTATTTATTAGGCCCGAGCCCCGAACGGGGTAAGGGCCTATTGCTTTCACAATGGTGAAAACAAATGGTGGCGGTGCGTGACGGACGCGTCAGCGCCCGTCACTCACCAAAACGTGACAGTTGCGTGCGTAAACTCAAAAGCTTTAAAATGATGAATCACGTGCCATTGAAACCTATATTGTTTTTGCTCGAGACTAGTTACAAAAAATTCCTTTTTTATTTATTAGGCCCGAGCCCCGAACGGGGTAAGGGCCTATTGCTTTCACAATGGTGAAAACAAATGGTGGCGGTGCGTGACAGACGCGTCTTTCTTTCTTTCTTTCTTGTTAAATTTTGCCCAAAAATCAGACCTGGCGAAAAATGTGATATTTTGGTGTTTATTTTTATGGGACTCAAAAAATGCCAGAACAGCGCCACCTACAACAGCCAAAATAATACAGCAAAAGTTTTCGTACATGTCTGTTGGAAAGCTACTCCTCCTCGGCCGTTTCACCGATTGGGGCGGCTTGGTGCGGGGCGGCTTGGTGCGGGGCGGCTAGGTGCGGGGCGGCTAGGTGAGGGGCGGCTAGGTGAGGGGCGGCTTGGGGGGGTCAAATTAAGGTCGTGGCACGGGGCATCATGGCACGGGGTGGTGCGCTCGTAGCACGGGGTGGTGCGCGCGGTGCAGGGAGTCGCGCGGTGTGTCGAGGGCCGTTCGACGCCGATTGCGGCTTTAATTAGGCCCGAGCCCCGAACGGGGTAAGGGCCTCTTGCTTTCACAATGGTGAATGCAAGTGGTGGCGGTGCCTGACGGACGCGTCAGCGCCCGTCACTTACCACAACGTAACGGTTGCGAGCGTAAACTCAAACGCTTTAAAATGATGTATAAGGGGGGTTCCTGTTAGTGACTAATGGCGTAAAGACGTGTCTCCGGGGGCTCCCGCAAAAACATCTTCTAAAGACTATCAGGGTGTGTGTACAGATTTCAGTAGTACAAAGCCTTTTTGGTTGTTTTGAGTACCGATATGCGTCCAAAAACCAGAAATACGGACAGCCAGACGACATCAAAAACGCGGCCTGCTCAAGAGGCTACATCCCCAGCCCAGCGTGAGCCTGCTGGACCGCCTTGCACCGAGGGTGCTTGCGTTAGCGCTGCTAGCACAGTCCCGGCTTCGAGTATGGCTTCTGCAGACTTTAAAGCCGAACTTCTGGTTGCTCTCCGTGAAGAGATGGTAGGCATTTTCAAGTCGGAACTACAGATGGCTATGACTGAAAACCTATCTCAAATAAAGTCAGAATTGCAAAGTGTGAAGACGGAGCTGACGGCTAACCTACCCGCTACAAAGTCTGACGTGGGTGAATTAAGGGGGACTGTGAGTGAGATGGAGGAATCGCTGTCAAACTGTACAGACGACATTGTGTACCTCAAGGGTAAAATGGAGACCCTTTCTACTAAAGTTCTAGCTCTTGAGAACAAATGTGAAGATCTAGAAGGTAGATCTCGTCGCAATAACATCCGTATAATTGGACTATCTGAGCAAAGTGACACGGTTACCGCCGCATCTACTTTTGATCTGCTTAAAGAAATGTTTAACCTGGAGAAAGCGCCTCTTATTGACCGAGCTCATCGATCCTCAACCCCCAAACCCAAACGCGGAAAGCGACCGCGTCCCATAATAGCACGTTTACATTATTATGCAGACTGTGTTGGCATCCTACAACGTGCTAGAGCCCAGCAACGGATCAAGATTGGGGACTCAACAATCTCCGTCTTCCCGGATCACACAGCCCGGACGGCAAAAGCGCGTGCTGCTTTTAACGACATCAGCCGGCAGCTCAGGGACATCCCGCGGCAGCTCAGGGACATCCCAGGTATAAGGTATGGTCTGATGTATCCTGCTCTCCTACGGATCACAACGAGTGGAGGGGTCACAAAGGATTTCACATCCCCTGGAGAGGCTGCTGTTTTTGTCAAAACTCTTAAATAGGTAAAGCTGATTTTAAGTGCCACCTGCCTACAAAATGACTTTGAACGTTGCATTATAGAAGTAATATCAATGTAAATTTGACTTTGAGACATAAGTTGCAGTGGCACAAATGTTTATTGTTTCGACAAACAAATATCTTTCTTAGGTTCACACAAGTTGCAATGTTTTTGTTGGATGTACACCCTTTGATTTAATTTAAGTTACACAATTGTTGAGCAGGAGCTCCTGTTGAGTTTGGAGAAGTATGAAGACGACTGTCAGGTCTAATACACGGAATTTACTTACTCTGTTAGTGACTCCTAGTGGAGTCTGCACCGGTATCCTATCGTTTGGGGATGGGGTAGTGGTAGGTGCGGGGGGAGGGGGGTTTGGGTTTACTTACCGTTTCTGTCCTTTCTCCATTTATTGTTTTATATATATCCCTTTTATTTTTTTTATTTTTTTGGGTGTTGGAGGTCCAAATGGGGTTGCAGGTTCTGTTGTGATACGAACTGAACATGGCCAGTACTAAAGCATCAAATGTGAGATTTGTTAGTTGGAATATCAAGGGTTTGGGGAGTGCGGTCAAACGGTCAAAAGTGTTCTCTCACTTGAAGCGTCTAAAACCTGATATTGTTTTTTTACAGGAGACCCACATGCGAAATAACGACCAGGCACGGTTGAGATGCCCCTGGGTTGCAGAGGTTTTTCATTCTAGCTTCAATTCTAAGGCCAGAGGGGTCGCCATTCTGATTAATAAATCAGTCCCATTTACACAGACTAAAATTATCTCGGATAAGGACGCCAGGTATTTGATTATTTTAGGAACTATACACCAGATTCCTGTTCTACTAGTCAATGTATACGAGCCAAATTTTGATAACCCTAGTTTTTTTTAAGAAGGCCGGGTACTCTGCACTGCTGTTAGGCCCGTAGGCCGTCACAACAGTGAGAGACTTGTCCCCCACCCGGAGGCGGAGGGACGCGACCCTCTCATTCACCGGGGAGAACTCCAACACGTGGCGGCTGAGATGGGGGGCAATGAGAATGGCCACCCCAGCTCGCCGCCTCTCCCCGCGGGAAACACCAGAAAAGTGGAGCGTCCAACCCCTCTCAAGGAGTTGGGTTCCAGAGCCCAAGCTGTGTGTGGAGGTGAGGCCGACTATCTCTAGTCGGTATCGCTCAACCTCCCCCACAAGCTCGGGCTCCTTCCCCCCCAGTGAGGTGACGTTCCACGTCCCGAGAGCCAGCTGTTGTGTGTGTGGACTGGGTCGTCGAGGTCTCCGCCTTCGACTGCTGCCCAGTCCTCTCTGCACCATGCCACCACGGACCCCTCTGCAGGTGGTGGGCCCACAGGAGGGACTGCCCACGTCGTCCATTCGGGCTGAGCCCGGCCGGGCCCCGTGGGCTAAGGCCCGGCCACCAGGCGCTCGCCTACGAGCCCCGACCCCAGGCCTGGCTCCAGGGTGGGGCCCCGGCTGCGCCATGCCGGGCGACGTCACTGGTTTCGTATGAGTGCTGTCCACTCATTTTTTTTTTTTTTTTTTTTTTAGGAGTCCTTGGGAGGGGTACTGGACGGT